CACAGGGTAAGACTATTTTCAGTTTTTAAGGACTCTCCATACTGTTTTCCATAATGAATGCACCAAATTACATTCCCACTAACAGTCTAAACCTTTATTTTTAATGACCATTCTTTTCTTGGATTGGAGTCTTTAAAACTGTATAGCCCTCTAGCATTCTTTAAGTACTGAAAATACATAACCGCTGAAATACTTGAGCATGATCCTTGCTAGCTCAAGGTCAACCCTGTTGAATATTCACTTTCATACTCCACAGAATTACAATGCAGGAACTACTGAGCAATATGTGGGAACTATTGAGGTATATCCAGAACTGCTTGTCCTTCCTCTAAATGATCCCACGTTGTTGAATGTATTTCTGTTACTAGATTCATTGTACTCTGCTGTCTGCATTCTACCCATATTCTGTCATTTCCTCCATATTTTAATCACAGTTAAAAATCAGTATGTTTATTATGGAGGAAAAAAGTGAGAATTAAGTGAGAAAGTGCTGAAAAGCATTTTTCTCAAAAATTCCAACCGACTGCTCATTTACCTGATTATTGAAGAAGCTGGAAATGCTGTATTATTTAATTAGTTTAGGATTTTGTTGTTGTTGTTGTTCTGATGGGGTGGTTAGCTTTTGTCCTTTTTTTTTAATATGGTAAAATATATCTAACATAAAATTTACTATTTAACCACTTTTGAGTGTGCAGTTCAGAGGCATTAGTACATCCACATTGTTGCACAACCATCATCACTACCAACCTCCATAACTTTTTCATCATCTTAAACTGAAACTCTGTACCCATAACTCCCAACTACCCCATCCCCTTAGTCCTTTATAATCATTATTCTCCTTTCTGTCTCTATGAATTTGGCTATTCTAGGTGCCTCATATGGGTGAGGACAGTATGCCTATTTCTCTTAGCATAATGTTTTCAAGGTTCATCCATATTGTAGCTTGTATCAGAGTTCATTCCTTTCTGAAGATTAAATAATATTGCATTGTGTGTATGTGCCACATTTTGTTTATTCGTTCATCCATCATTGGACATTTGGGTTGTTTCCACCTCCTGGCTATGTTGAACAACTCTGTTATTAACACTGTGGTACAAATATCTATTTGAGTCTGTGCTTTCAAATATTCTGGGTGCATACCCCAAAGTGGAATTTCTGCATCATATGATTCTATGTTTAAATTTATGAGGAGCTGCCAAACTGTTTTTCACAGCTGCTGCATCATTTTACATCCCCACCAGCAATGTATAAGGATTCCAATTTCTCCACAAGATCGTCAACACTTGTTATTTAAAAAATTTAATAATAGCTGTCTTAATGGGTATGAAGTAATAGTTTAGATGAATTTTGAATAATACAGCTTTAAATGTTAATTGATTGGGCTGAGTTATGAGGATATGCAGCATTTGAACAATGTCTACGTGTTCTCATCTCCAGTAATAACCTCCCAGATATAAAATTAAACTAAGATACATTCATTAACTGAATAAATATTATACCACTCACTGTGTTGGCACCATTCCTGGTATAAGAATATTGTCATGACCCATGACAAATTCCAATCTATTTGATAAATTAGGTCAAATGTCTCTTTAGCAACGGCTGTAACAATAAGAACAATTTGTCTGTTGAGATTTAGGGGCAGTAATATTATCTTACATTGGATTCTTTGTTCCCGAGCTTATAAGGTATTTTGACACGTGCCATCACATTTGATAGAGTCTTTGTCCTTGTGTGTAACACAGTGATAATCATCTCTGAGAGGTCAGGGTGTAAAATTAAAAAGTGTATCAACTGTTCTCGATGGCTCCACCAGACCCACACAAATCCTCTGGGCTCCAGGACATATGAGCACAGCATGGAGATGCTGCCTGGATCTGAAAGCACCTCAGATATAATGTCCTAGATCCTCACTCCCCATCTACCTGCTTCTCTCCCTTATTAGCTGGAGCCTCATTTAAGGCCATGAATATTACAGTGAGCAGAAATCTAGCCTGGCCCATGGCCTGACTTTGTTAATGAGTTATTGTGCTGTCCCTCTGGGCCCGGAAATCACTGTAGCTTCTTTCTTGGCATCACTCTGAGCAGCCACTAGCAGTTTTCTGTCTTGTCCCTCAAGCTACCTGCCAGCCTGCCCTGGATTTCTGACAAAGGTGGAGTTCACCTTTCTTCCTTATCCAAGGGAAAAAACATTTTCAAAACCACTTTCTTCTTCCCTCTGGAAGACAAATATCTTTACTAGGACACTAAACCCTAACACAAAAGTTCTGACTGTACATTTACAGTTTTCTTTTGCAGACTTAATATTTGCTCAGCACATTTACCCTGTGATTTTCCTACTAATACTGTGTTTGTAAGCCTCACTCTTTTCCCATGAACTTTTTAATTTAACTAAATAAATTAAGAGGATAGATACACCTGAGAATTGAAGCTCCAAATGTGATCTTCCATAACTTAAAAATATTGCAGTCTGGCCATGTCTTCTGAACTCCAAATATTTATCTTAGGGGCAATCTTTCTTTGCCTAGCAACACGGGGCCAAGCTTTAATTTGGCAGGCAACCAAAAGCTCCCAGGTGACTTCGGCCCCTGAGTGACTGGCTGCCTTTAAATGGCTCATGTTTTATTAGGGTGCGTGATTAAAACATGAAGGCAAGTGGTAAAATCATGGCCAGGGAGACCATCTGAATATATGGTCTAGTCTCAGAAGAGGATTGATGTAGGGTCCATTAAAATGAAATTATGTTGGGTCATAATGTAGGGCAGTTGTGTCATGAGCCCCATTATAGAGTATTTCTATATGCATTGCAGTGCTGGATACACGAGGGATCCCATCGGCAGATTGCTGTGTTTCAGTTCCATCACCTAGAGGAGTTGCTCTTGCCCATGGAACTTGCTTTTACCCAGTCTTTAATAAATGACCTTTGTCTCTGCCTTCTCTGTCTTCTCTGACCCCCATCCTGGCTACATTATCTTTCTCTGTCCTCCCATTATGCCCTGTGGTTATCTTTGCTGTGACTCCTAGCGTGCTTGGGTGTAAATGTTAACGCTCTTGTTTGTCACACCCGGGAGATTATATAATGAGTTCCTTAAGAACAGGAAACAATTTTCATGTACTTGGATATCCTCAGTGCCTAACATAATAGAAGGTGCTTGATGAATGTTTGCTGCATGTGTGAGGATAAATTGTGGGGGGAAAAATCCATGAATGTATTGCTTAGTTGGTCTTTTGTTTGTGCCTATCTCTATCACGGTATTTAGCGGATGCCTTTGTGAATATTTAATGACTTACCTGTCGCCCTGCTGTACTGTTAAATACCTTTGAGGCAGGAACTGTGAGCCGTTCGTTCAGGTGCCCCTGGTTCTTCTCCATAGTAAGAACCCAGCAGGTGCTTGTTGAAGGGGTCATGACCTACCACCACCCTCCTCTCCAGCATCGTTTTGCATCACTTTTCACCTCTCTGTCTATGTCAGGTGACACTAACCATCTCCTGGGTGGTTCACTTTTGCTTCAGTTTATTTGAATTTGCTACTCCCTCTTCTGCCCCAAATACTCCTCTCCTTCTTACCCAACCGCTAATTTCCTTTTAAGTCCAGCTTCAACATCACATCTTTCATATGGACTTGCCTCCCAGCCCTCTTGGGCTGGGCTGGACGCTCCCATGACCTGCCCACGCAGTCCCTGACGTTTGCTCTGTCATCACCTTTATTCTACTGGGTCATTCCTTTGAAAGAGAACATCTTCCTTTCTAAACTGTCAGGTCCAGTGATTCCCTAGCACCCCCCACAGTGCCTGGCATGTATTAGAGACATGATAAACATTTTTTCAGAAATAAAATTTCCCACAGTCTGGCTCCACCCTCCCTGATTTGCCACCTTTTTCATGCTTCCCAACTTAACCTCTTCACTCCATAAAATTTACAGTTCAGTTCCTCCCTTAGTTCTGCCTACGATACCTTTTCACTTTGTCCTAACTCTCCTTAAATTCCATTTTCTCCAATAAATTTTCCTTGGCTTTATCAGCACCCATTTATTGTCTGAACCTCAGAAATGGATTACATCATCGCCTGCACCACACAGATTACCTCCTGAGAAAATTCCACCTAGCGTTGCTTATTGAATGTGGCATTTGCCTCCGCCAACCAGAAAATCTGGTACCTTCCCCTGCAGCGCTGGCCCTAATCAGTGGTGCTTCCTTCCCACACCAGGTAGTTCAAACTTGGCAACCTAGATTCCATAAACACAACCTAGTGTTATTATAAATCATTGAAGGGAAACAGAGGGCATGAAGAGCAACTTGAGAAAAATTGGTTTTGATAGTGCAAAAGAGGCATCAATGTAGTCATTACAGGTGGCAAAATAAAGAAAGAAAGAAAGACAGAAGAAAAAGAAAAAAATCAGAAGGAAAAAACAGGATTTTATTGAACATCTTTGCTCTTATTTTACGGTTTTGTGTTGACTTTACTTCTTTTTCTTTTCACTATCTTTTCTGTGTTTGAGGGCTTTACATTTAAGCCTAGGACAGGTTTAAAACAAATTATCTCTGCCTTCAATTTCAGATCATTTTAAAGTCGACTGGGAAGTAGAAGACCTGAATTCTAGTAGCTTTGGGTTCTTCTGCAAGTCACTGATTCTCTCTGCATCTCCACAATGAAAGGTGATGTGACATGGCCCAGGTAAAGATGGTACATCTTTCTAAGTCTTCTTCCATCACTCTCCTCTCTCACACTTATCATTCTACTCAGCTAATGCAACTTCACTCCTACCCCTTAACCAGCTATCTTTCCAATCAGAAAAGCCATCTTGATTGTTTCCCACCGAGATTCACATCCCTGCCCATTGTGATTCAAAATTTGCTCCTTCAAAACATATCTAAGTGCCCCACAAGGATGCTGGTTATTTCCTTTTGCAGAGTTCATTTGATAAAATCTTTAATTTGCTAGTCTTCCTTCCTACAGACTTCTTTTAAATTCCCCCCAAATCATAATCTCAAATTTTCATCAGATCTTTGTCTTCTAAAACACTTATAACCACTGCACAGTATAACACAATTATCTCCTCCTAATAGTAAGAACCAGAGCGCCACAGCTCAGGCAAAATGATAGAGTTGGCAAAAAGGGTTAAGGGTTGTACGAAGGAAAGATTTCAGCAAGGAAAGGACTGACCTCTTCCCTCCTGTCTTCTGTGTTTAAGAGGCTGGGTTTAAACTGCTGAAGACTGAACAGCCACTGATATCCTTGGGAAAAGGGTAAGAATGCACCCAGCTGTATTAAATACTTAAGATCCCAGATTAAAATCAGTGAAATCACAAGGTAGATAGGATATAGGATTGCACAATTTCAAGTTACTGCTGAGAAATCATGAAATATGAGAGAGATATGAGAAGGAGGGAGGGGGCTGACTGAGAGCAGGAAAAGTAGCAGGGCGGCAGCTCACCAAGCGGCAGGGAAAGGTAGAAGGTAGGGCTGAGGACAATGCATTCTTACGTTAGCTTGTCCAGATTTGCATTCTGGCTCTAGCACTCCAGCTGTTGGCCTTAGGCAATGACTTACCTCTATACCTCTATTTCCTGAGCTGAAAGATGGACACGGTAACAGTTACCTTTCATAGGTTGACATGAGCACTAAGTTAATTAACATTGCCAAGTGTGAAGACTAGCGTCCACCAAAGGGTGACACAAAAGAAATGTGGGTACACGTTTCCTTTTGACATGGTGCTTCAAAATTCTTGAGCAGACTAATAAATGGGTGTCATTTGAATATTTTTGAATAAAAATATTGATTACTGGGTAGCCATGTGTTCTCAGTCAAGCAAGACTAAGATCATTACCTGCTTGATAATTCACAAGATGGCAGATCAGTGGAATTCTATGTTCAGCCAGGCATGAAAGGATCCTTCTCATCGTGATCACATAGATACGATGGGGACATAAGGGGAAAGTCTGAAAGCCCATTACAAAGAGATGAGGAGATAAAACAACTTTCCCAAAATCTTGTTGATTAATAAATTGCCATCAAGCTGGAGGAGAATCTTTACCTATAGGACACAGGATTCTGTTCTAAGTTTTATCTTATTCAAAATGCTCAGCCTATCACCTGTGTAAAGCATAAAAGACAAGGTAATTAAGTCTGTATCTTTGACCCACAGGTGAACGTTGTCATATAAAGGAAAACAGCCCAAAGATTTTGATTATCTTTAATGTTAGAGGGATACCAAGATGGTTTTAGGGTTTAAATGTAAAATGTTACATTTAGATTGAAAGAGGTAAGAGGTATTCTGGTTTCCCAATGACCTCAAGTCTAACAGCAGGTAAAGATATCACATGTTTTCAGGATACTAGTAGAAAAACCTTCTTCAGACAAAGGAAAGAGATACTCCCTCTGTGCTCTCCAGTTGCTGTTGGAGCAGCCCTGGAGAGGAAGCAGGCCCCAACCTGCTCAGCACTTGCTATGTGCCACACATTGTTTGACCCACTGTAGAAATACTGATGGATTTTTCTCTGTCTGGTTCTTCATGTGACATTTTAAAATGGTGGTTGGGAACCAGACAAAGCCCACAGGAAGTAAGCAGGATGGTAAGGAGTTAGGATGACCCTCAGAGAAGTAAAGATGAAGAGGCTATAAACACCTTTAATTTATTTTTAAATACTATTCTGGAAAAAAAAAAGACCTTGGATCAAGAGATGGATGTCACAATGAGGTCCAATTTAAAGAAAACCTTTTAGTGAAACTAAGAGAGAGCTCACTGACCCCCCGGGGGTCCAGGTCAAGCTGGAAAAACCTCTAGTGAAGGTAGCTGTACATCTGATGCTGCCCCGATGGCATTACATGACTTATGGGTCTCTTTCAATTCTTCATCCTGTGGCTCACTATTAACAAATGATGATTGAATCCTATTTTGAAATTAAAAACATAAGATTTTGTGATTTATGACATTCCCTCTAAGCCAGAAAATCTATTTTCACTCTCCAGGTTCCCAAAGCACAAATATACTGTTAAGATAAATCACAATTTTAGATGAAAGGGAAGTCATATAATGACCCAAAAAGGTATCATATCCAGGAAAATGTCCCTGGTAACCACTCTTTTCTCTTGAAGTCCGTGAAGAAAAGAGACTTCAGTTCTAACTCTGTCCCTCTCCTGATGTCATAAATACCCTGTCCCTGGGTACAGAAATAGGGAGCTATCCTATGATCTTTCTCTGTGCTTGTCTATCTTTCATCTTCACAGAGGCATGCTACTGAACGGAGGCGATTATGTGCCATCAAGCACTTCTGGAATATCGAAATATGGCTACCCTTAAATAGTCCTTTTCCCTCTTTAAGGTTACAACTCAGAATTGTTTTTTGAGCTATGGCTCCTTTACAAACTTTTCTCTTCATTCACCATTTTCTTACAAACTCAGGAAAGAGCCATATGTTTTCAGCTGACTTCGTATCTATTTCTACTGTTATCTGTCACTTCGCCCTCCAGATGAAAACGTTTGCGTGCAATGTCTTTTAAAGATAAATATGCTACCCGAACTGTACCTGTTCCAAATGTTGTTAATAATTCTTCCCTGCACCTTTTTTTTTCCCCCTTCTAAAGTAAATGGCTTGTTGCAACCAACAAAAGCCTGACTCTATTTATAAGGAAGAAGCAGTTTCTCTTCTGGAAGATTTTATCATTCTTTGGCGTGAAGATAGACCTTGGTTTATTGACCCAAGATGATCTTCAGAAAAACTGTGTCCGCATAACTGCAGAAGTAGTTAAGCTCATGTTGGGGCTCTCTGTCCTGCTGTCAGGGAATGGGGAAAAATCTCTGGTGCAATTTAACATGGAAAATGCTGACACTGGGTCCTGGAGACAGTAGATAAGAGACATGCTCGAATAGGGGAGTCATTTTTCCTCCAGTGGGTCATTGTCACCCATTATGAAGTTGAGCCTAATTCCAAAGAGAGCAAAGTGCACTGAATTCAGACAGAAACCACATCTGCCAAAAGTTCTGT